TACCTCTGCACTTTACTTCCGCACCTCCTCTGAGTCTCAGTGTGCTTTTCTCTTCTAGTTGTAGAATTTCCACTCAGCCAGCCTTCCTGTGGTTCTGGATGATGTCTGTTTTGTCTTTTAGTTGTATTTTTGAAGTGGTTGTGCGAGGCAGCAATTTCCGGTGTTTACCTATGCCACCATCTTGGTTTCTGGCCTTTCTATTCTGTTCCATTGATTTATGCATCTCTTTTTCACCAATACCACACCATTTTGATTACTGCAGATATATAGTAGGTCTTGAAGTCAGATAGAGTCAGTCCTCCAACTTTTTCTTCTCAAATTTGTGTTGGCTATTCTGGGTCTTTTTGTCTCCCCATATACTAGTAAGTTTTAGAATTAGTTTATAGATATCCATAAATACTTGATGGGATTTTAATTCCAATGAATCAATAGATCAAGTTGGGAAGAACTTACTTCTTGAAAGTACTGAGTCTTCCTAACCATGAACATGAAATATCTCTCTACTTATTTAGTTCTTTGATTTTATTCATCAGAGTTTTGTAGTTTCCTCATATAAATCTTATGCATATTTTGTTAGATTTAAATCAGAGTATTTCATTGGGGGGGGGTGCTAATGTAAGTGGTACGGTCTTGTTGCTGTTTTTAAATCCTCACCTGAAAAGTGAGGATATATTTTTTAATTGATTTTTTTTTTAAAAGAGAGAGTCAAAGGGAGGAGTGAAGGGGTGGGGGGAGAGAGAGAGAGAAGAGAGACATCTATTTAGAGAGACACGTCGATTGGTTGCCTCCCTCATGCGCCCTGGTGGATGGAACCTGTAACCTAGATATTCCCGTGTACTGGGTATCAAACTCTCAACCCTCTGGTAAGCAGGCCGGCACTCTAACCACTGAGGAACACTGGCTAGAACAATGGTATGACGTTTTTACCTTCTTTTTTTTATATACATATTTTTATTGATTACAGAGAGGAAGGAAGAGGGAGAGAAAGATAGAAACATCAGTGATGAGAGAGAATCATTGATTGGGTGCCTTCTGCACTCCCCGCACTAGGGATCGAGCCAGCAACCCGGGCATGTGCCCTGACCAGGAATTGAACCATGACTTCCTGGTTCATAGGTCAAAGCTCAACTACTGAGGCACGTCAGCTGGGCTGGTGTTTTTAATTCCAAATTCCACTTGTTCATTGCTGGTGGTAATTTTTCATATAGTGTGCTTAGCAAGTTATCCATAATCATACATATATACATGTACACATACTGATCATTCACATTCCAGGCATTGTTGTAGATGGTGGAGATGCAACAGTGAGCAAAAATAAGCAGGGTGGAGCTACTGGGGGAGAATGATGAATGTCATGTCACAGCTGTGTTAAGCTCCGCAAAGCGGAGGTTCACGGTGCTGTAGGGCACTCAGAGCAGCAGCAGCTGATGAGATGGGGGTGTGTGCTTCTCTGGAAGAGTAAAGGCCAATTTGAGGTTTGAAAGAAGCCTAGTAGTTAATGAGGAAAGTGGTAACAGGCAGAGGGCATGCACTGTGAGAAGTCCTGTGAGAGGTAGAGTCTGTCACCTTTGAGGAACTGAAAAGGCCAGTGGGTTTGAGTGCAAAGAAGCAAAGGGGAATATAATGAGAGAGAAAGCTCAAGAGGAGGGGAGGGGCCAGTGACTTTGTAGGCCAAGGGTGGGCTAGGATGTGGGGGTTGGGGGACAGCCAACAGTGTATGGTTATAACAGTCACTGTCAGATTTCTTGATACAGTTTTCACTTTCATCACAGGTGCAAACAGGTAGCTTTCTTGCACAATTCTCTCCTACAAAGAAACAATTTTTAAAAAAAATCTCTTCAGGAGTGCACACATAGACTAATGGAGAAGAGCAAAGCCAGGTTGAGAATCGGTGCAGGGCAGGGTCAGTCCCACTACCCAGTTCTGGTCTCCCTTCCCGGGAAGGTCTCACAGAAAGTGTCACTCATTTATGACGGGGCAAAGGGAAGAATGTTCAGATGTCATAGACTTTCAGTGTTCATAAAGAGTGGACACAATGGAAGAAAATTTGCACTGTCAAGCCACTATAGTAAAATGGATCTATAAATACATATTGAACAAAAGTACAATCATAAAATGATGCTGTTTTACAACTTGTCCTTTTTCAATTAACAGTATCTTTCTGTGTCAGTACTTTATTCTTTTAAAGTATTTGTATAATCTATTATATATTACTATAGTTATATTAACCTTTATATTAATATAGATATATTTTAACCTTGTGTCCTTTCTAAATTTTCACTTTTACAAACAATGCTGCAGAACGTTCTTGGAAATATAGTTGACCCCTGCACAGTTCACACCCATGTTGTAATTATTTCTACTTTTGGTATCCATAGGGGGAAGTTCCTAGATATAGACTCTCGGAATCAAGGATATGTATATTTTTAAAAACGTTTGGTTTTATTATTAAATACTTATAAAAAATGCAATATATAGGAATACATAAAGAACAAAGTCAAAAGTCTGCCCTCCTCCCAGCTTGTTAAGCATTCCTGAAAAGACATTTTTCATGGTGAAAGAAATGACCAAATTGCAGTCTGATAAGGTTGTGCCTGTTTATCTATGAAAATGCCTGATTTTCTACTCTCTTTCCAACACATCTTATCAATTCTTTAATAACCTTCAATCAGTACACAAAATTTTAATTGTTTTAAATTTGCATTTCTTTAATTATTAGTGAGATTAAACATATTTTCTTAGGTTCAATTTTTAATTAATTTCTTTTTAGTGGTGCTTCTGTGAGTTGTCTTTTGCTTTCTCTTGCCTGTTTTGTTACTGGGTTGTTAATCTTTTCTTAACCGTTTGACTGCTAAGGAGCGCTATCGCGCTCTTCTTATTTAAAACAAATTTATGTAAACAATTGATATTTTTTAATTTTTGTTGTTGCAAAGCAATACAAGTGAGTTTATTGTATAAAAAGTGTTTTACATTTTTTCCCATACACGTGCAATTAGTGCTGCAGTTTTGGCATATGTCCGAAAAAATACGTCAGCAGCCAAACGGTTAATAATTTGTAAGAGCTCTTTCCACATTTAGAG